ATTAACCTTTCTGTGATAAACTGAAAAACAGTTTCTTTATGAATGTTTAATATAATGGAGACCAGCCTTAAGTTTTAAAAAAGCATTCTTTTTTTAAATGTATTTCAAAAATGTTTTTTTCTGTAAAGTGTAGCAATTTTATCTTCCGTGTTCATCTCTGATAGAAATACAACCCATTTTCTTCTTGATCACTTAAAACTGACATATTTCTAGTAAATGTAAGGAAAAGAAAGAAAAAGTATTCAAGAAAAAGAGTCAAATGAGTTATTCGTCTGTTGAGCAGGTTAATTTTTTGGTAATTTCTCCTCCTGGCCTAATTTCTTGCCTAGACAAATTGAAATTCTCAATACAGTGTCCTTGAAAGGAGTCTTACACTGGTTGTGTCCGTGCGGGCTCCGGGCACTGTGTGTTTGGTCAACAAGCAACAGTGGGTGGTCAGGCTGTAGCACAGGACAAGGGCCTGCTGTGCACAGGAAAAAATGTTCAAAGGTGTTTGAGGCTGGTAAGGAAGTCTGACGCCCTTCAGAGAGTCCAGAGGCTATAGATCAGCCTTCCCTTACTATTGTAGCCTGTGAGAAAGTTCACTGTAAGATACATAATGGATGAAAGAATACAGTAACTGTATTCACCTGGTTGCACATCCGTAGGCTCTCTTTTTTTTAAATCTTGCTCATATACATGCTGTGTATGTGTATGTATGCTGCAAGGCTGTGTAATAACTGATGTTTGACTTAGCATAGAAAATCACACTAAAAAAACCACCATTTAGCCTGAGGTTGGACACTTCTTAACAATTTTCTTTGTTGCTGCAAAAAGTACTGGCCTTATATTATCCCCTGATCAACCAGCAGCTTTTATAAGAAGCCTTAGCCGAATGCCATGTAAGTAGTGCAGTGGCTGGCAGAATTGCAGAGTGGCTGAAGCTGGGTTACAGAAGGGAGATGCGTGACCCCCTTGAGAAGCCTCTGCCTCTCAGGCTGAGAGGGGAGAACAAAACAAAAGAAGCAGAGTTGTGAAGACACTGATATTGCAGAGCAATTTTTACACTCAATTTGGTAATAGTTTTGAAATTTTAAAGTAAAGCTGCATTTAAAAATTTTTAAATCATTGACTGGTTTGCAGATCATGGAAAAATCTACTGTAGGTAAACTTCATGTTAGTTGTCTTTTTAACAGAGGCTGTAACATGGTGCAAGCCAAGAGCATGCAGGTAACATTCAAAAAAGTGGGGTCAAGGTATGTACATGAGCCATAGGTACTGCAGTACTGATAAACTTGGAGTAAACCTGCAGTTTGGGGTCAGCACAGGTGACTTGATTTACAGAACACAAAAGGACAAATTAAATTACCTCAAAAAGCATTGTGCTTTCTTTTAGATCTTTGTTTTGATGAGATCTTACTGCGCAAGAGAAGAGGGCTTAGCAAAACTGTTGAACTACATATATTTCACATGGCATCTGAGTGTTTTAATTTCATCCTTCTTACGTTTAAAATATCTGTGCACAAGAAGTTGAAACCCAGTAAAATCTTTTTTAATAAAAAGCAATGTTAAGATCTTTTGATCTTATTTGCTCTATTCGTGATTTTTCAGTCGTAAATGTGATAAAACTTTAGTTACACTTCTGGTTTGTCATGACTCTTTGGTAGAAGAAGAGAATGTAGTACCATTTCTTTTTCCTGTGTTTCCTTGGTTAAATATGCACGTGGCACTGGAGTCACTGATAGATATGCTCCAAGTAGATGGTATATTTTGGGAAAAAAAACAAAACAATAACAAAAAAAAAACCAAACAGAAAGAAAAACAAACAAATTTTGTGATTTCCAGGATGCAGTTTTGTTTTGTTTTTTTTTAAATGAAGATATGCCAGGAATGTATTATTCATGCTGTTTATTTCTTAAATCGTGTTAGCACAGTAAAAAGTTAATTTCTTGAAACTTTAGGTTGTTGCTGTCCTATACTCAGGATCTAGGAATGTTGAAATAGCATACAAACAGAATAAGGAATAGGCAGTAAATTATTATTTGGGTAGTTTGTTTAGGCTTATAAATGTTACTGTCTACAGTCCATACTAATATTAAATTCGTTGTATTACATTGTGCTGCTAAATTTAAGCTGCTGGCTCCAGAGAGGGAACGAGTTGGGATGGGAGAAAAATTGTTTGTAAGTTAACTCTCATTTTTTTACAAGATTCATGCATTAGTATGCAGTCTTCAAGCGCTATCTTCTGGTAGGGTGAAAGCAAGATCAGCTTTGCTAATGTACTCCAGATGTTTATTAGTCCTGAGGGTATATGTGCTGTTGTAGTTCCCTGCTGCTGTGTTATACTTGCTTGTAATGCTAGACAACCAATTAAGAAATTAGTTCATGTTAAACTTTCTTTTCCTGGTACGACTGCAAACTGATGATGTGGTTTTTCTGGTGGAACAAGAGAGTATTCTTTACATGTTTTCTGTAACTGGTGGATATATAAACCATTTGGGCAGCATGGGGTTAGCGTATCAGCAGCAATACAGAATTTTCAGGTTTTCAGCTACCTCAGGCAAATGGTTTTAATTAAACTAAGTCGTATTAAGATGTTTTGGTAAGTGTGTCTGTTTTTCTTAATTCTGAGGTTTAATTGGCACTGTCATTTTTAGAGATGATCTGTTTACCCGAAATTCCTCATATTAACAAGGTGTTTGAAAGGTGAGAACCTAAATTATATGCAAAGACATCAGAGGGATGTTTTTTCATGGGTTTTTCTAATTGTAGTTTTTGTGAAAATAACATTGCTGCACTCCTGGTTTTTCAGTTTGCTTGATTTTGGAGAGGTTTTTTTAGGAGTTTTATTGGGTGGATTTTTATATATATATATTAACAAATTAAACATATATATATGTTTTAACCAGCAGTGTCTTGGTGTACATTCCTCCCCCTTTCCCTGTCCCCTGCCAAAATAAAATGCAGATACATTGAATCTGAGGCAAATTCTTATGGATGCCGAAGAACTATTCAAGGAGTGTAAAATTTCACAGGGTCTTCTATGCAATTTTCCTCTTTATTCTGGGTAGAATCTCTGAAGATATTCAGTGTATGCTTTTTTAATCTGGAAGGGAATCAATTTGTTTTGGTTTTGCTTCATTCTGTAGGGTTGCTGGAATGTTTTCACAGAAGATAATTACTGCAAATTTACAACATATAAGATGTGTTTTAGGAATCATAGGTGTTTAAATTATGAATGCTAATGATCTGTGATCTTACACAGATCTCTGCTGTATGGGTAGTTGCATAGTACATGTCCATAATTAACTTTTTGTACTTCCAGCATACATACTTACTTAACAAAACTTCTGCAGGCTTTAGGTTTTTACTTTCTCATTATTATTTTGTATTTTTAGTTCATACAGAGGGAATTCAGTATGTCTGTCACTATTGTGAATGATGTGGCAAATTGGATCTGTTTACGTATTTTCTTATAGTATGAACAGTAATGAGATTAACAGAGGAACTACAGTTGGATCAGTAATCACAATGCCACAGTGAAAGGCCACAGGAAATCTCTTTTAAACCTGTTAAAGAATTATGGGAGGAAGAACTTTCAAAAGGAACTAAAACACAATACTGTCACCTATTGGAAGTTTGTGATACTTAATATTTGAGTTTGAGCCCCAGCTGTTGAAGTAAAGTGACTAGGTATATCTTTACTGCCCTCATGGTCTGACAGCAGCATTAATTCAGAATAAATATCCTTCAAATCATTTTTACTTTGTGTTACTCTTGAATCTGAGTACTGCAGTGTTACAGCTGGTGCTCTTACTGTGTGGCCTTCCTGTTATTTTAAGTGAATGTAGGTATCGATGGAAAAGATCAAGCAATATAAACTCAACCATTAAGACTCTTATTACAAAATTCAGCATGAATTATCAGGAGAGGTTTCATCTCAGTGTAAGAAAGAAACTTCTTACTGTAAGAACAATGAATCACTGAAATAACCTCTCCAGGGATGTGGTAGAGGCCCCATCACTGGAGGTTTTCCAGATGCAACCAGACAGGGTGCTAGATAATCTCATCTAGGCTCCTTTTCCCCTGAAAGGTTGAACCACATGATCTCTCAAGGTCTTTTCCAACCTGGGCTGTTCTATAATTCTATGAATTGTAATTCATTTAACTTTAGCTGTTACAGCTCTGTTGCTCAGTGCTGAAATAATTTTGATGGTTACTTTCAGAAATGTATCTGTAAGGTGAAATGCATAAAGCAGCAATATAGATTTTAAAAGAAATATTGGCAGTGTTACAGCGTGTTAGAAAATCATCATTGCCTGGTCACTGTTACATGGTTGTTTTCCAAAATGTACATTAAACTCCAAGTATACACCTCCATTAGATTAGATCATTGCTTGTAAATTTGCTAATACTTACTTGCATACGGTCAGGCACCCAAGGGAAAAAATACCTGTTTTTGTTTGTCGATAGGTATAAGTACAGGGTGGTTTACAGACATGCACAAGTATACATCAGTTAGTTCATCTGCTTCATGATGGATGGTTTCTTTCTACCTGAACCTTGTATAGGTCAAATATCTAAGAAGTAGTTGAACGCTCTGCCCATAACTGCTTTGGCTGGAGGCAGAAGAAAGGCTTGCTGTTAAAAGTTTGTTTAGACATACAAGAAAAAAGTGTGTGCCATGACACTAATGGCATAAATACGTATTTATCCACGGCTTTCAAGCAATTAACTGTGGGGCATTAGTTAAGTAAGAACAAAGAAACATACAGAATAAAGACTGATATTTCCCACATGGTACTTGTGGGTTTGGCTTTGCTTGCAGGAGTCAGTAATGGTGTTACTGAATAACATTCATGTAGATGAGCAAACAGTCTAAACAAACAAGGTTAAGAACGTTTTTGCTTGATAACTTTTTGTTTTGTATCAATTCAGAGTTAAATTAGAATTCCACACGCAGCATGCAGTTTCATGGCAATTGATGTGCAAAATCATTTTATTTTTCCCCTCTCTCCCAGGCAGCTCATTGCTCCACAGCCCTATGCTGGATCTGGACAGTGATGTGCGTCCATCACCAATTGGCCATCTCAGTCAAACTGCTTCATTGAAAAGGGGCAGCAGTTTTCAGTCTGGCCGTGATGATGGTAGGCATCTGTTTTTATTTGGAAAAACAAAGCTGCAGTTCCCTGTGTCCAGTGTGTGGTGTAGTCAGAAAATCCAAACAGAAACCCACACTCTGTGTGTTTGTTTTGGTTTGTTACCAAATCAAATGCTTTTTTTCTCATGCCTTACTGTTGCTCACTGAAGAGGTCCTTGGTGATTTTTACAAGCAAAAGAGCAGCTCATAGCTGAAATCTGCTTCTTAAAATGAAGTTAAGGTAATGAGAGTCTTTTTTCTTTTCTTTTTCTTTTTTTTTTTTTTTTTCTCTCTCTACAAAACCGGAGTTACCTTTTGCTGTTGTTATACTTTTTGTGTGTATTTGCTGAGATGGCTCTCCTTGCATTTGCTCCTTCTGTGATTACTGTGATATCTGGTCCTTGTTCTTTAATTCTTTAAACCCAGAAAGGGAAACAAAGTGTATGGCTATGCTTAAGCAGTGTGTCTGCAGCCAGCTGTGCCCAAATGTGTCGTGTCTTCAGCACCATCGTTCAAACAACTTTAACTCGGAAGTCTTTCAGTCACAGGAGGCAGAAAACGTTTTTCACAGGCTGGGTCATTTCTTACCAAAGTACATTTTTGCAGAAAGCAGGTGTTTATGAAGAGCTTTCTGGCTTTGGTCTGCTTTGATATTGCTCTTCTCCCATTTCTGTGGACTTCCTTGAAAAACGTCTATAAATATCTGTTGGGGGGGTGAGCAAAAAGAAGAATGAATGGAATCTTTCAAGAACATAGAATGTACAATTGTCATTATTTTTTCATTCTTGTGCTGCCACATTGTATCTTCACATGCCAGAAAAATTGCATCACAGTTTGAGGTTGTGTGTATTCAAAATGTAGATTACACAAGCCTAAAACAGACATGTATACCAAGTAATTACATTAATGTAAATTGCACAGTTTCTTCAAAATACAGAGTTGAGGAACAGACATCCCTGCTTACAACGTCGGGTTGATGCTAGAGCTTTTGGCAAAGATGAAGCCGTTTCTTGAAGGAGCTGAAACCTTTTGGTTAGAACTTGGGGTTTGGTGTTGCAGTGCCGCTATTGCTGTATCAGTGTTGGCACAACTTCCTGGCATCAGGAACTTTATTAACACAGCTTGTGTTAAAAGGCAGATTTTTTTGCTATTGGGTCTAACCAGTTCTCTTGACAGTCATAAACCAAGATGGCACAAATATCCTGTGTGTATCCACACTAAGCTTTGCTAGTCAAGCTTTGAAGTTCTGATGCCTTCTGAACAGATGCATCACTATCCGCAGAGTTACGCTTCAGTTATTTTAGAGTCTCTCTCCAAATTTGGGGCTTCCATTGTGATTTTTTTTATTTTTTTTTCAAATACTAATACAGTCCCTAAACTTTTTGGCCATGAAGAGAACATTATTTTGGGTAGTGCAAATTCATCCACTGAAGAAATGGACCAGAATTTGATACACACCTTGACAAATGGATGGTGCTGAAGGCATGCTGTACCTCAAGGAGATTCAAGACTGGCTGCCACACAATAAAATAGTGAGGTTCTGATGAAGGCTAGCCTACTAGTTACTGAAGGTGCACATATTTTTGCCCAAATGGTTCTGTAGTCAATATTTTCTAGTAGAGTAAAGACAAAAAGTGCTATTTTAACCAACATTTTTCTGCATTTCTGCAGTTATTTGGATAATATGTTTTTAACTTTATCATTTATAAAAGACCACACACAAAAAAACCAAAACCAAACCAACAAATGTGAACGTTTTTGTTTTATGGGGTTTTAGTTGTTTGGGAGACTTTTGTGGGGGTTTTTTGACGGGTTTTGGGTTCTTGGGGTGTTTTTTTGGGGGGGGGGGAGTTGGCATTTTGATTTGGTTTAGGGTTTTTTGGGGGGGGGGGGGAACAACGAGAGGTGTTCTCAAAAAAATAAAAAAGAAATTCATGTTCCAAGCATTCTAAAGCTTTAATGGAGGTGGCAGATGGTTATGGAAAAAGTTACCTTTATTTTCTGTGTTACTTAATAATATTTTTCTGCCCCTGTTCAGCTTTCTCTTTATGTCCCTTCCCACCTCTCTTTGCTCCATGTGATAAGAAATAGAGAAAATATATTTGCTGCTAGAATGAAAGCTACTTTCCTGATATGTTTTAATAGCTGGTGTACCAGGAGCATAAGTAGGTTCATGAAGTGAAAACATGAGTGCTGTAGTGTTACAGGTTAGGAGTGTGTTCTGCATCTAGGGATTTCATTATATAGTTAGTGATTTGTTCACTCAACAATGTTGGAATCTCCCCTGTTTTTCAGATTGAAGATTTTACCGAAGAAATTAAAATAGAGATGAGAGATTGGCACCTTGCCCCAAGCCACAATGGAAAAATTTTTGAGCTGTAAATAAAGCAAATAGTCCCGTTTCCATTGTTTGCCTTAAGCACTAGCCCCTCCTACCAGCCCTGTTTCTGCAGCATCACGATCTCATCATTTGAAGCTTCTAATGTCTTCATTGCTTTCATGTGACCTTGCCTTTTAGAACAGCTTGAAGACAGAAGTCCTGCTGGCTGAATTATTAGGTGCATTGCATTGTATATCCCTTACAAAGGGGCCTGTTCTTTATGTACTATCATAGTGCTAGCAGTTTGTAAGCGTATGAGATGAGAAGAAAGAGCTTGTATGCATACCTATTATGTACACATATATGGGTCAGGCTTTATTTTTATTTTTTTTTCATTTTTACCTGGAAGTTTATATATATACTGTATAGTCACTTGTGTAATACAAAGCTGCAAGCTAATAGTACTTTTAAAAAATTATTATTAGTTCAAATATTTTTAATTTTGCTTTTTCCATCCTCTCTTCCCATTTTAGCTTGGCGATACAAAGCTCCTCAACAAGTTGTGTTTGTTGAAAAGCTGACAAAACTTGTTGTAAGTCAGCTGCCCAACTTCTGGAAGCTCTGGATTTCTTATGTGAATGGAAGTTTATTCAGTGAGGTATGGATTTTTCTATATAAGCTACTTTTAAATAACAAAGCTTCATAATGATTGTTTGAACTATGATACTTCACTGGAAGAAGTGAGGACTTGCTTTAATCAGAGAGGTTTATATAATAAGTAGACTCTTACACATTTGAGAGATACTGCTTTGACTAGTAAGGTGTCTTGCAGTACTAACCTATAGAAGTCAGAATTTTCTTTGTAGTTTTAAAAGAATAAAGGCATACAGTGGAATTACTTAGAATTCTGCTAGTGGTGTTTGTGTGTGTTCCAGATGCTGGAATCAATATCTGTAGTTCCACCTCTTAAGTCATAGCTGGCCAGCTACCTTTCATTGGTGATGTGAAGAAATAGAAAATTGCATGGAGGAGACGTGTAGAAGACAGTCATATAGAAAAAAAATGTTTTCTTTCTTTGAAACAAGAGTACTCATTTCTTGAGTTTTAAGTATTTGAAAGTGAGGATAGGTTCAAGACCAGAGCTGCAAAATGACCAAGGCCCAGAGTAGTACACACACATGCATACTATAGGGAGTCTAGTCTGGAAGTGCAGGCAGCTGCAATCAGCTGTGCTTCTAGTCCTGCTTGCTCAGATGATCTGGTTTTTACAAATTATGTAAATACAATCTTGATAATCCAAGAAGCAGGATAAATAAAAGTAGTGATTCATGACATGCTGCTTTTATATGCATGCTGTTAACAGATTTTGAAAGTTTACATTTCATAATTCATTTGATACATGTAGTTGTCTTACCAGGACAGTAGTGTATCGCTTACCATGATAATTATTATCAGATAAATGCAATAGCTTTGGGGTTCGTGTCACAGAATTACATTTACGTTTTACAGAGTTCACTTCTAGTTCTCAAGCCATGTTGTTTGTTCTTCAGAACTGCAGTGATGATATATTCACAAGGAGCTAGTCTGACAGACACATGATTGAAGTGTTGTGAAAGGCAGTTCTCTGTTCCATCAACAGGTGTTAAGGCACTAGTTCACAGCTCATCTTCACAGCTATCACTGTGGAAGTTCTGCTGAGTGCAGTTTGGACTTACTCTGGGTCCTAAAAGCTCTAAAGACCAGATCTATACAGAGAGGTAGAGATGGAATATTACAGTGCAGGTGGAAAACAGTCAAGCTTTTGGACATGCATATTATTCAGATCAGCTTCTATATCCAACCTAAAAGTTTGTGCATCTAAAACTCCTCCATTTAACTGCTGCTGTATTGTCTCATTTCTTGAGATTGATTTTGTCGTGCCATTTTTGCGATATCCTGCTGTTCTTAAATCCTGAAGTAATCACAGCCATAGTGTTCCACTACTAAATTATCCCTAAAGCAGAACTGCAACCATAGATCTCTACGGTTCTTTGCAGCTTTAGTAGAAAAGAAAACAAATACCCTGGGAAAAGGAAATTTTCAAGCTTATTTTGTCATTTTCCTTTTCTCTAACTAAAGAATGAATTTCTCAAGCAGATATTCTATTTATTGCCACTGTCTTTAAATCTGAATATAACGTGATCATTCTAATGGATAATATAGTCCTTTATATGTTGAACACAATACAGAGTACTATAGGTCCAGTGAAATGGATTCTATTTGTGATCCTTATCTTACGTGATAAAATCAAGAGAGATAAGGCACTTACTCATAACATTCAGTGAAGGAAGTAGAATCAAGAATAAACCTTAGTACTGTTGACTTTCACAAAAATAATTAATTTCATAAGGGAAATGACAGCCTTTGTATCTGGAAAGTAGATTTTGCAAATTCACCTGTTAAGTTATTGTGATTTTTCTTTTTCCCTGAGTACAATGAAAAAGAAAGCAATTTCTAGAGAAACTGAGATTTGAACTGTAAACAAGGTTGAGAAATTTTGCTCATGAAAATGACTGCAAATGGAAAATGCAATGATCTTGTCATGTCGGAACAAAACATTGTTTCTGTGTATTTGGGAAAATAGTCAACCCAGGTCAAGTGGAAGGAAGGGGATATCATTAGTTAGAAGACTTCTAGAACACCTTAGAGTATCAGTATGTTGCATTCAAGACTCAGGGTTTATATGTTGCAGACTGTAATTGTCCATGAATAAATTTCCTCTCCCATGTTGCTTGCTATTTATTGTCATTCAGGTAGCAAGGTGATTGCAACAGTTTTTTAGGACTAGTCCTGTTAAAGTGGTTTAGAGTGTCATTTCAGTTAGCTTATTGAAGACAAGGCATTAAGACATTTTAAAAATAAGGAAAGAATTTCAGCTCGTGTGAATTTTTATTTTTTTCAGTTTTTAGGTTTTGGGGGGTTTGGGACATGTGGGTTTTTTGAGTTCTGAAAGGTTAGCAATATATCGTAAGATACTATCAGTTAAAGATTTACATGGTATTTTCAGCAGTTTAAAAAGTTGAGTTCTTTGAATCACTCTAGGTGAAGTCACATATATGTGAGTAGTAACCGTTGGTCTTACCACAATGTAGTTTTGGTCTGTCTGTGCAGGAAAGGTTTAAGATTGGTCTTCAGCAAAACCACTGAGGGGGAAAAAAAAAAATAAAATCAAAGGTCTGTGAATTTTTTGTTCTTTAATCCAGCTGTAAAACAGTGTCAATTGTAAGTTGCTGGGTGAGGTTTAGAGAAAAAAGCTTAATTCCTTTTTAAGGCAGTAGAAGAAAGAAGTGCGCATTCCAAGCAGCAATGACTCCAGTGTTTTCCTTGTCTCAAATTTTATAATTCAGAGCTTAAAGTGTAAGAGTTTCATAGCTATGTATTTTCCAAAACCGTTAAGCAGTTTTATTTTTCTCTGATTTTTTTCTTACTTCAAATTATTTTTTAACTTGAAAATCTGTAATGCTTTAGCTAAATATGGAATTTGAAAAAGACAGTGTTTTCAGTTAACCATTTACAAGTAAACCGATTCTCTTAAACACTCTCGTCATGTTATTGCACTTCTTGTCCAGTAGATGTTGCTGTACAAACATAAAATAGGAGATTTTTCGAACTATAAAAGTCTGGCTGCACTTAACCCAGAATCTGAAATAACTTTTTCAGTTTAATTTAGCTTTCTCAGTAGACTCCGCAGAAGGCTAGAACTACAAACAGGAAGACTGTTAGTCAAACCATGTTTTTCTTTAACTGTAACTGTCTCGTGCAAAGCATACTCATGTTCCTCTGTTTCCAAGGAAGTGAACAGTCCACAAAGATGCTGATTATTTTGCAGAGTCTCTTTTACAGTTAGTTATTTAAAGAACATTGTCAACAATATGCTGTTCCTAAAAAAAAAAAAAGGCAAAAAAACCCTTAACCTTCATCCTCACATGTTACAATTTTGAACTTCCCTCATTCCAAGAAGTGTTTCCCATTTCACATCAGTGTCCTTCTCTGAGCAGCTTCCAGGCTGATGAGAAAATAGTTTCTTCATATAAGCTTCATATGATGCAGATTTGGACTATGTATGTTTTGGCTGTCATCAATACTGCAGTGAGAAATCATGAAGCTCATATTTCTTGAGCAACTCTTATGCTTGTCTCTTTGTTTCAAATACACATTGTCCCTCAGAATTAAACGTTAGCACACTGGCCTACAGTAGGTAGAGTTTGAGAGATATACTAACTTTGCTTATTGAGATGCCATGAGTTATTTTTTATAATTGCATCGTAAACTCATCAGTTTTCACTTCTTCACTTAGACACCCCCTTTTTCAGAATTATTTTAACAGTTATGAGATGCTTACACTTTTCAATTTTCTTATTTTCACAAGACTGCTGAAAAATCTGGCCAAATGGAAAGATCAAAGAAAAACGCAAGGCAAAGACAAAATGATTTCAAGGTAAGTTATGAGGAGGGAGAGGGGAGCCTTTCTTTCTTTTAGCTGCCCTTCATAGCAAGATACCTTCATGTCACCACCTTGAAAATCAGATTTCTTAAATCATCTGTGTCCTTACACCTTCTTCTCATCTACTGTCTAGGGTGTGGAGTCATCTGTAAATCATACATTCCAAGCTATTGTGTATAGTAAGTACATGGCTGCTTAAGTACCTTGGCAAAGATTTTTTGCTGGATTTTTCTTTCTTCTAATGCAGAAAATGATTCAGGAAGTGATGTACTCTCTGGTAAAACTTATCCGTGGAGCTTTGCTTCCATTCAGCCTCAGAGAAGGAGAATCAAGACAGTATGGTGGCTGGGAGATGAAATCTGAGCTTTCTGGCCAGTGGCTGACACATGTTATCCAGACAGTAAGGTAAATGGATCTGTGGACCTACAAAATGATGCTATTCCCAGAATATGTGTGCTTTAAGACAAATTGTTTATTGTGTTAATCTGAGTAATGTTAACATTTTTGAAAATAGGATTACAAAAATATTACTTATAGCAGATTTAGGATTCTGTGTGCAATTATAATTAATAATGTCTCAAGATGTAGCCTTATTATGTATTGATAGATTCCTTATTTTTCCATAGCATCTTATGAATAAGTTTGAATGAAATATTTGTGTGGTGCAAATGAATGAATGATACTCTATGAAGAAAATGGGATTTGTTTCTTCTGGGTAGAAAGCAATTACCTGCTTCATTTGCTATGCATTTTCCCCTCTTTGCCTAAGTGGGTGAAAATAGCATGCTTCTCACTGTAGTATCATTCTTAAATCTCAATTTACTTTTACATCTGTGTTTTGGGAAGGTGATACTCCTTTCTGCTTATAATGTCATTCTGCTTGTAATTATGTTTGTTTACAAACTTAATAATGTGCATATCATTAATTACAAAATGTCTTCTTAGTATATAGAATTTGCTTCCATTTGCTTATGGAGTATGTGAGGTTACCATAATTGTTTGGAAACTTGAATAATACCTGGAAATAATACCGTGCGTTTTATCTGCAGTTTCAAAGTAGGTAACAAAGCACAGAGGAAGTAATTGGTATAATCATGTATAGCTACTCATATTGCAGATGGAGCTAGCAGTGATGCATGCCTGTTGTCAAGTCTGCTTAGCACTTCCCCGAAGTCTGTTGCCAGTTACATTATCTGTATTTTAATCAGTTGGGGGGTGAGGGGGAAATCCATGTGAAATTTCTTATTCTGGCTGAATTTTATGGAAAGCTTTCAGTTTAAGAATTAACTTGGCATTTGATGAAAAGGTGTAAATGAGCAAGGGAACATGCTTTGGCACCGCTGTTGCCCTTTTATGAGAAGCAGTCCAATTTCATTCATATTTCACTAAAATTCTGGAATTTTACACTTGCACATATGTGATATTGGCTTGGAAATTTAACTAACAGGTTCTCTGAAGGTTGGTTATGCTTCAGTCCTGCTATCCAAGGTATAATCCAGGCTGAGTTTATAGGATAAATGAAGGCTGTTTTTTACTTTCTGGTCACTGCCCTGGTAATGAAAATTTGTACTGAGAGCTGGGGAAATTCTCTCTCCCTCCCACTCTTTTCCCCACCTCATGTTCTCACTGATGCTTGTGCTAGCACTTTAATAAAGTGAGCTAGACTTTAAAGTGGTTGACAGTAGCGAAGAAAAGGGGCAGTTTGAAGAAGAGGAACTCGGCAACCCATGGTAGGGTATCAACCAGTGCTGACTGGGTCAGAGCTTTTTACAGGTGCTGCATATACTTTTGTTTTCAAGGCCCTACACTGACAATCTAATAAATTCCTGTGACTCACACCAGCAATAAAGGTGAACTCTTCTCATGAAGTGTCATTTGTTGCAAAGTTATGAAACAGCTTAAGTCTTACTTTTCATTTACATGAAGAGTCATTATGAAGCACAGGATAGAATTTTATTCTTTTCAGTCATCTCACAAATGATTTACTGTTTTCTGCTTAAAAATTTAAGAATGCTAAAACTTACAAAACTAGACATCAAGGAGTTGTAGTCACATATGTGTGATCTTAATTTTTCTGCTTGTTTGTAGGTATTGTGCAGCTTAAAGTAGGGTGGTTGGACAGTCTTTCTCTTGTACCCTATTCTGTCATTGCCCCATATGAATACATTCCACAGGATAAATTAGACCTATAGGATAAAGTGAAGCTGTTACTGGCAAGACCTTTGCCTTATTGTAAGGGTAGAAAGTTATATATTTGTTAGGGTGAGTTATGTTAGGAAAAAGATTATCTTAGGTATGTGACAGCTACATGCTCCCATAGAAATTGAATCAACTCTATGTACAGGACTTCTGTGCAGCCTAAAGTCACTTAAACTTCTCACAGATGGGTATTTACATGGCTGATATAGTGCAGATTTATGTAATCTACTAATTCAGTAGTTACGCTGAGCAGAGAGCTGTCTGGTTAATGATAGGTTTACACCCAAGGGGTAAGGAACTGGAGCCTACAGATGGATAATTGGGAATGTTCCTCTTACTGTTCAAACTTGCTTGCGCCTTCTTAGTCCTGTTCTTTGACATTTTCTAGAATCTGTGTTTTGCTCAGTGCTAGCAGTAGGGCAGACAGCAATGATGGCGCTTGAAGTGCCCTTGCTTAAATTTCCAGGAGTTGGATACAAGCAGAGAACCTCCTTTTGTGCCCCTAATTAAAGTCTCAGCACAACTGCAGCAATCAGTTATAGTTAAAAGCTGAAATGCTGTTACTTGCTATTTCTAAAGCAAAAAATGGAAATTAATGTTTCCATCCTCAGCTATAGTGATTTGTGCCTGGTCGGAGTTGGGAGCAATACAGCAAATGGGTTCCTCTGTTCGTAATGTAGTAGCTGTATTTTGGCTCCTTTAATGTATGTACTCTTGGCAATCAGATGCACATCATTTATGACAGCTTGATGGCTGTTTCTGTTCTAATGCAGATAAACAGTATCTCAGAAACCCTGTTGTGGACTTAGGATTTCCTGAACACAGGACATAGATTCATACACACAGAAAATGTCTAAAAAAGTCACCCAAAAAAAACCCCACATATCAGCTTGAAAACCCTGCGGATTTATACTTCAGTCTAACTTTATTTGCTTTCCAGGCTTAGTTACGAGTCTCTAACTGCACTTGAGATACCCAATGATATGCTTCAGATCATCCAGGATCTTATTTTGGACCTTCGCGTACGTTGCGTTATTGTGACCTTACAACACACAGCTGAAGGTAATAGAAGGCTGCAGGTTTATCACTTACTGTTGTTGGGTTTTTTTGTCTCTGATAGGCCAGATCAAGTTCTGGAGGATAACATGTTGGCAGTGGACTCCTCCGAGTTCTGTAGTATCTCACAAGTTACTCAAGTATTTCACTTTTCTGACAGAAATGTATGTTATGAGTCTTTTCTTCCCTTTGTGTAATGAATACAGTAGTTTAGATCTGTTTCCTTTGCATTGAGACAGTTTTACAGTGCAAGTGATTTATCTCATGATGCAGCTTTTCTATATTGGATGTATAATTTATTTTCTTTTTTGAGTTCTTCTATAAAGTGAAGAATTAAATAAGCAATGTCCCACTGCCAAGGAAAACAAAAATCCTCAGCTCTTTATGAAGTATTTCAGTTGTGTCCAAGGCCTTTTACTAACATGATCTCCAGGATTCCTGTTGTGTACACAGCTTTTGCCATAAATGTTACTGGCCTTGCAATCCAGACACATTCTCTAAATCTAACGTGACTCTGTGTGCATTAGAGGTTATTCGTCTTACCATCTTGTATTCAACTCTGAAACTTAAATGTGAATGAAGTAAATCTTCCAGAACTAAATGCCTCACTTAAAATGAGGACAGATTGCTTTACTATTCACTTGATGGTTTTTCCGAAAGACTGATTACACTCAATTAATTTAAAGGGGGAAAAAACCAAAACAACCCAGGATCTTTTTGGTCTTGCAGTTTAATTATTTTCTAATTTTTAACATATGATTCATCATTATTTTGTAGACTGACATGAAGCTAAGTGTTTTACTGAAGCCTTAAGTGTGCTAAGTGCTGGTGGCTATAGTAAGCAAATTTTTAAACTTCCGGTGAACACAAATCATAAGGCCTCTGGGGTTTAATTGATACAGTATTGATACATATAGTACGAGGAAGTCTCTTTTGCTTTTCTTCACTTAGTACAATTGAGATCAACTCTATTTTAATTTTTTTTTTTAATGTTAGGTTAAAAAGTTTGATGTTTTTTAATTGTAACATGGGGATGGTCATGTAGGACTGGCTGTCCTCTGTCTAAGAACTGAGTGATTCCTTGGATGTCTTGACTGTTGCAAAGGAAGGAAGTGTCTAGCTCCAAACCATTTTGCTGACAGCCCTTAGCTTTTTAAATCTGTAAGCTATCCACCTAGCTTTTCTAGTGCAGTCCAGAGAACTCCAATACATGATTAATGAGGAAGCTCTCTGCTGTCATACTAGCTTTGCCTTCTTGTTGCATCACAACAGTAACCCAGTTCTTTGTTCAGATTCAGAATTCCCGCTTCTTACATCCTGATTGCCAGCCACATATATTATGTGGAGGAAAACTCTTGTGGTAGTCTGTACCTTTTTTATTAAAGCATATTTACCAGTCTGTGTATGGATTATTCTCTATTTGTTCTGAGTATCTTTATTCATATTTTTGTGTCTTGAATCAAAAGAGGTCAGATCCCTTAAGATGCTGGTATGTTATGTAGGGTGTCTTTCATCTAGCCAGTAGCAGTAGCCTTCATTGACTGCTACTTCCATTCCCTATCAGTGAAGAAATTCTATCTATTGGCTTTAGCATCAAACAGGAGAAGAGAAAATACTCCTGCCTGAATGGTGACTTGTATTCCATATTGTTGTACTGTGTGCCTTACCTATGGGACCCTTTTTTTTGCTTTTGTGCTGTACCACCTAAAACACAGTTGCATACAGTTTTTCTGCACAGAACCAGGTTAATTTGGCCCTTGGATAAACTGTTATTTTTAGAGAACCAGTGAAAGAACAGTTAATGAATATTCTCATGGAGATATAATTACATCTGAGATGCTTTTATATATCTGTAATATATAAGTCAAAAATGTTCCTCTAGGACTTGAATCTCACTTCCATAATCTCTCTGAAATATGAACTGCATAGACAGATCAAATCAAAGTTTGGTCTCATCTCTTTTTGCATGTTGTAAGTTGGTAAAGGCATTCAGATCAGTTGAATTTTTTTAATAGAGCACTCTATAACTATTTAAATAGGACAAATCTGCCCACACACAGGGTTTTCTTCTTGTCTTATGATAAATGCATATACTCACAGTAGCCCTGAGAAGCAGCCTGTGTTCTTTCCCTCTCATATGTGATAAGTGGTCATAAAGGTCACAAAAGGCAAATTACGTGAGTGCCAGACTAGATGAGTTTTACATTAATATTTTTGACTGGAATTTGATGAGCAGTGAAATACGAGAAAGAAAATGATTTCTTTTGTATTTGTATCAATGCAGAACTGAATGCAAAAGTGAGCAGCCACTGAAACATGTAAAGGCTGACCAGTGAAATCTAAAGCCTCACAAGCATATTGCTTGAAGAGGTTTACTAAATAAGGAAATGAACATAGTTGTCATTCTGCACAATCCTTAATACTTTTTATCCTCACAAAGCCTATACTTCCATGAGATGTAGAATTGCAGGGTATGACACCATAACTAAGCTTCTTAATTTAGGTAATTAAAGCACCAAGATAATGAAAATATCCTTCAGCATGCATTAGTTATCCTTTTTTCTTGGATTTTGGGGAGAGATAGTAATTCACCGAAATTTTTTGCTTATTTAAAGGGAGTTGCATGAGATACGGACAGTTCTGATTAGCAACTTGTGTATGAAAAACTCTATTTCAAAGCCCCCACAAACTGCATGTAGTTACTTGTTTTGTTCTGTTTAAAGTTGAGTAAGGCCCCCCAGAAAGCAATGATGCAGAATGCATGTGTCCGTAGAGGAATTTCGTTTACAATACAGGAGTTTTAGATTCACGTCCTGACTTAGCTTCTGTTAGTTTCAGTAAGCCTATAGAAGTTGGCACCTTCTGGGTAATGAAAAGCGAACTTCTTACATACGCCTTCATGCATTTTTGAAGAAAGTCTAGCACTGTGGGTGCCTTGACCCCTAATGGGTACCCTTTGCCTCTTTTATAATAATTACATATGAATTAGGTGTTGTCTGTTCTGTCTTTGCTAGCCAGTTGTTCTTTCATTTTTAATTAAGAGCTGGAACATAATAGACTAGAGACTTGGGTTGCTAAATGCAGTATTTTGTTGTGATTAAAAAATTTCAAAAATAAGAAAAAAGCCCAGAACCTTCACAAAATTCCTTTAATTTTCAGCTTTCCAGTAAAAGAGATACTTCATGCAGGTCTCGCCATGTATCATAGATACGCTTCTCTGTGGTGTCAGCAGTGTACCATTCTTAGTCATTTGAGAATGCTGAATGCTTTGAAGCTTTTAGTGCTTTTTTGCTTGTATGCCTAGTCATTGCAGTCCCAATGTCTGTGGTTTATCTTTTCAAGTTCAAGGAGTTTTTGATTATGAAAATAAATACCATCTTCCTCTCCCCACTCCTTTCACCCTTTTGCTCTGTCTTGCAGATATAAAGAGGTTAGCTGAAAAGGAAGACTGGGTTGTTGACAACGAGGGTTTGACATCATTGGTAGGTATTCTTGTGTCTGTTGTAGACACTTTCTTTGAAACTGGTTTCTATATTCTCCAAGACCTAAAGTATTTTTTACTTTGCCTATATGTGTATATACTGATATCTGTAGTGATTTTTTTTTTTTTATATGAAAATGTAGGAAGATAAACAATACAAAATGGTTTGTTTGGTTACTTGTTTACAGCACTCTTAACAGATCCCATTGCCAAATATTTTTTCCTGAGCTTTTCAAAAATTTTTGTTTCTACTTCTTAAACTATTTTACCTGAACTAACTTTATGCTGCTTATTAGTCAGCAATATTTTTTCCTGGTTTGCACCTGCAAAAGCAGAAATAAAAGCTTTGTAGATTTGTGCTGTACATTGAGAAACAAAATTTAACAATTAGACATCAAGATATGTAGCATGACTTTCTGCCTTATGTAGGGTTAAATGTATCAGTATAATTATCGATGACATCTGGCATGATTTTGCTGAGATGTACAATAATAGCTTTCATTGTTAAGCATCTTATTTTAGGGATGGTTTACTGAAGTAAAAAATTATTTTTGAGGTCACAAGAAGTTCAGTTCACATCAAAATGCTTCAAAATTTAGTAAGCACACTACCATGGAATTGGTCGGTAGCTAAATAAATAGGTCAGTTATATGTTATAATGAGAAATTGAACTGAAAAACAACTAATTTAGGAGATTGCCTACACACAAACAACAAATGACTTGAAACCAGATTCAGATAAATTAGTGAGATGTTTTCTGGAAATAAACAGTAATGAGTAATGCCTAAAACACAGCAAGCATGTTGTAGGTGTGACTTAAAAACAATCCGTGAAAGCAGAAAGGGCCTGTGGGAGGAAGAGTTGCTCTGTGTGTATTATCTAAGAGAATGCTCCACAGAGTTTCTTGGTTTTTCTTACTTGCTTCTATAAATACGTTTGAAGCTCAGTAGGAGGGCATTAAGCAATCACAATATACACATTGTAGAAAGGAGTGTTATTGGGCAATTGTAGTACTATAACCAGATATGCAGCTTCTGGTCTTGGTTTCAGTTGCCACTGACTTGAGCAAGTCCCTTAACTTTTCTGGTTTTCACTTTATTTCTTTATGGTTTTGCTGTATCCTAACCCATCTTTGTTTAAAAAATACTTAGGTCTCTTTTGTATTTAGGAATTGCCCACTAATCCCATGCGTACAGCACTTCCCTAGTTACCTTTGAGGCCAAGGGTGAGGCATGCTAAATTTTCGTGGTAGCAGTTGATTGTTTTATCGTAACAGAGTTATTTATCTACTGAACAGAGTTCATTGTGGTAATATTATAGCAAAAACTGTGGCAAAAGTTAACCAGTACAAAGAAGGGCCACACCATCTCTTTGGGAATGTTTTAGGCTTAATATAGAAACTTGATTTTATGTTTGCAGGAAATACTGGTTGCTAACCCCTTTAGCATTTATATTTCAGGTAAAAGGTACAGTAAGACACAGAACCAGTTTTCCTTGGTTTCATAATATCCAAAGAATAAAATATCTGAACACCTTTCTTCCCCTGAGCTGTGAAGTTTTATTCTGTGGAAACAAAACCCAAGAGGATTACTGCTAGTCTTTTCCTTTTAAGCGGGTCCCGAAATAATCATTACAGATTGTCTTGGTGGCTTTTTTCATGAGTTTCAGGTTGTCATGCAGGTATCACTTTAACAGGCCACCTCCACCTCAGCAGTTACAGAAATAAAAGTTGCTCCTAAGCCTAAAGTTGGTGACATTTCCATAAACTATCTGCTGGATGAAAACTGGGTTTACATGGCTTAGAAACTCATTTGTCCACCTCCTTGATGCAAATCCAATAGGCTGATGGCCCTCTTTTCTACAACAGTGACACCTCTCTGCTACACACTGCCCTGCCATGATTGCTTCCTGCCTAATACCAGCAGGCAGCCTCATCTAAAAAAAAAAGAAGTGTGACTTACCAGGGAAGAGGGAAAGACAAGGAAAAACTGCCTGATGACTTATGCTGTGAACTTGTTTACAGTTTCAAAGTGAAATTGATCCATGCATCAAGACATTGGTATTTCATGTTTGGAAACCTGAAGGTTAAAAAAGTGCCCCCCAATCCAGTGGGTGTTTTTCTTCCACGTGAAAGCAATTTCAGTCTGGTTTTCTTAGAAACATTTTGCTGGAATAAAATACAGAAATACCAGGGACCGCAGGTGAAATTCTATTCCAACTTAGATCTAGAGAGGGGAAGGAGGAGAGTGTCACAGGCATCTATAATGTAGTTGTCAATCTATGCTACCATGAGCAAGCTATAAAAATCTTTCACGACCCTTTCAGAGAAGGCTGTTTGATGCAGAAGTGTCTTGTTCAGGTAAGAAAATGTGCATTGGCTTATGGTAATAATTCTCTAGCAAGCTTAAGTACAAAAGGACATCACTACAAAAAGGCCCTCTGGTAATATATGAATTGTGGGTTTGTTTTGTGGTTTTTTAGTTGGTTGTGGTTTTTTTTTTGGTTGAGTTTTTTTTATTCTCTCCACCCCCTACCTTATTTAGGATAATTTGGAAATAAAGAGCTTACCATATGGCATGGAAGTTTCTATAATTTTCTGTAGTATACGTTTGACATGCGAAAGTTAAAAGATCTTTTGCCTTTCAGCCAGCCCAGTTTGAACAGTGCATTATACATTCCTTGCAATCTCTTAAAACCGTGCTAGACTGCAAACCTGGAGAGGCCAGCGTAAGTTTTGATTTATGCATTTATTTTTGTTCTTTTTATGCTAATTACTATTGGGTTTCAGAACAAGAACTTTCAGAGAATGATACAGGGGTATAAATTCCCTCCTCTTTAATCATGAACACCCTTTTCACTGCTGCTAGCTTTTAGAATTCTGTTTATTTCCTTTGCTAGGGGTAATTGTGTATGTAGGGGGAAGATTGAACCTATATTTAAACCTTTAAAGCTGTTCTTTTAAAAAAAGAAAGCTACTAATGTAACTTTCAAATAGCAGAAGATGTGACTTTATTTACATGAGGAAAAAAAAAAGTGCCATTCCAAGGAGTTACTCCTCATTCAGTGTTGCATCCAAATTACTTGCAGAACTTAAATTCAGTTTTTCACTTCTAAATCAGCAGTCCTCATCGTTCCCACCACTTAATACCTTGAGACCCCAGTTGATTGTGATACCAGTGTTTTCTTTCAGGTTTCAGTGATCTAAGGAAGTTTAATACTTTTCCAAAATCCCTTGGGCTCCTTTGTGGGTATTGTTTCTCCTCCTTTATTTTTACAGTTGGTTTGTCTGGTATCTCAGTGAACATTATTCACAAGAATCTACAGTGCCTGAGGAATCTTTCTTGTTAAGGTGCAAAGATCCTTGAAAAAACAAAGATCTTTGAGTTGTTTCCCAGCATCCATTCCTACAGTTGTGTCATCTCTTTAGGGATAGTCTACTCAGGCTTTTCTTGAGAATAAGCCCACAAGAAGCTATTCTGCTGAAATACTATGCTTGCATCTTCAGGTTTTCCAGCAGCAGAAAACACAGGAGGATGTGTGCCAGCTGAGCATTGGGATCATGCAGGTAACTCAAACAGTTCTAAGTATGAAACTTGGTGATCAACAAAAATGTGCGCTTTGTACCCTGCCCACCTCCCAAAAGGTACCTTAAGTTGATGACTGTGTTATTACTCTGATACACTCTGGAAAACTGAGAAATATTTGTCTTAAATGTATGTAGAGATTACTAGCTGAATCTGATGATATTAAATCGTCAGAGGGTGACATATTCAAGTATTTTACTGATCGTAACTGATCAAGGTTTTTCCAACAATTGAAATACACTTGCAGGCTGTTATTAATATACTGCAGTAAAAAGGAGCAATACAGATTTTCATTAGCTGAAGAGCTAGCTTTCAATTTTTGTATTGGAAGCCAATATTCTTTGTAGTAAAATTTGATCCTTTTTTTTTAAATACATTTGAACTATTTTTATGGTCTTCTTAAATAAGAAATCATGAGCCAAAGCAAAAAATGGATTTTAGTGATACTTCTGTGATGTTTGCTTGGGAGCAACTGTTCAGATTGAGCACTTGAAAACTATTAACAATGCCTTTTCAAATCAGCAGATTATCACTGCATAATTTTAGACATGCATGATGAATATCACTTGACAAGATTAAAAACTCATGTGGGTTTTTTACAAGTAAATTGTGATGGATATAAAATTGAAAATATGCATTCAAAAGGTATAAGTAAAATGTTACTGTATTTATGTTGGGTTTAAGACAAAGAAAGACGATGATGGTTTTCTGCTTCTATTGACTGTTATAAAAGTGAATTTAAGATTTATTTTAATTTTTTTTTCTAGCAGAAAATGTACATCTTGCTTTATTGTTTCCTAGGTCTTTATAGACTGCTTGGAACAGCTGAGCACCAAACCTGATGGTGACATAGATACAGCACAGTAAGTAAAATAAATAGGACCTATGTGTAATACTCCGACAAACGCAGGTGCAAGTCTCAAATTTCAGTAGTGGTGGTGTTTTATCCCCTGTGGTATTTCATACTTCTTGTGAGTACTTTTGCCTCTGGTTAGTGATGCTGAGAAATAAGAGCAGATACTTTTTATGCAGACCAGTTGAGTGACATCATGTAATAAATATTGTGCACAGTAAGGAATATGGTATTACTTATACCATTTTATTCAATGACAAGAGTTGTGTGCTGTAGAAGCACGTGTGTTGTTTTTGGCGTGCCCTTACATGGAATGAGTTGTCCTTGTCACTAAGTAATGTCTAGTCATGGAGAAAAAGCCACCCCTGCCTTTCTTTTCTTCCCTTTTACTCTGACTAGTTCTACTGGTATTTCTGCTAAATTCTTAAAAGTTTTTTTTGTTCAATAATTGCTCATGAGCCACTTATATTAGAGAGCAAAATAAGTCAGAATAGCCTGAGTTTCTGAGAGCACTAATCATTTCTTTGTGAAGAGCCAGAGACTTGGCAAATACACAATATGCGTTAGAAAGAGGCAAATCAACTGTGTTCCTAATGCCACTTTTTTTTTTCCCTTTCTTTTTTTCCTCTGATATTTGGATAGCTGTTGGCTGGATAGATGTAAAACCAAAATGGAATCTATGGCAAACCAGAGAAAATTAAAATGCTTTAAGAAGGAAAGGTCTGTAGCTGAAATAGTACTTTCTGTCCCCAGAGTTCCTGTAGACTTTGTGGACATCTTGGACAAACTGAGCAACATGGCTGCTTTACTGTCTAATGTAAAGGAGCTTGAAACAATATTCTGATCTTCTGTTCCAATTGTTCATTTGAATCCACCATGTATCAGATAATTAAAAGCACTATAATACTCACTTTTTAATAATATTCTTAGTCTTTCAGTTGATGTTTCATCTCCAGATTTGTTTGGAAGCATTCATGAAGACTCCAGTCTTTCTTCAGTAAGTTTGGCTTATGTTTTTAAAAGCTGATGTGAAAATTAATATTTCTCAAAGTTAGAAGAATGGGTCCTTTTACTGTATTGTTTCAGAGTTATATTTTTCTTTTTTAGAGAGCAATTTTGTATTCTAGAGGCATTTACTAGTTACGTATGTCCATAAGCATAAGAAAATAGGATATAAGGTACTATGACTGGAAAAGGGAAATATAACCCCCATTTTCAAGAAGGGGAAAATGTCTGACCCAGAGAACTACAGACCACTCAGTCTCATCTCCATGCCTGGCAAAATCCTGGAGCAGATTCTCCTGGAAGGCATGCTAAGGCACATGAAAAACAACAAGGTGCTTGGTGACAGCCAGCATGGCTTCACCAAGGGGAAATCCTGCCTGACAAATTTGGTGGCCTTCTGTGATGGGGCTACAGAACTGATGGACAGCGGTAAAGCAGTTGATGTCATCTACCTGGACTTGTGCAGAGCGTTCGACACTGTCCCACATGACTTCCTTGTCTCTAAGTTGGAGAGACATCAATTTGATGAATGGACCACTCAGTGGATAAAGAACTGGCTGAATGGCCACACACAAAGAATTGTGGACAACAGCTCGGTGTCCAGCTGGAGACCAGTAACGAGTGGTGTCCCTTAGGGATCGGTGTTGGGGCTGGTCTTGTTTAACATCTTCGTCACTGACATGGACAGTGGGATTGAGTGCACCCTCAGCAAGTTTGCCGATGACACCAAGCTGTGTGGTTTGGTTGATACGCTGGAGGGAAGGAATGCCATCCAGAGGGACCTTGACATGCTTGTGAGGTGGGCTGATGCCAACCTCATGAAGTTTAACCATGCCAAGTGCAAGGTCCTGCACCTGGGTCAGAGCAATCCCAGACACAGCTACAGGTTGGGCAAAGACGAGATTCAAAGCAGCCCTGTGGAGAAGGATTTGCAGGTGCTAGTTGATAAGAAAATGAACATGAGCCGGCTTCAGTGTGCGCTCGCAGCCCAGAAAGCCAACCGCATCCTCGGCTGCATCAAAAGGAGTGTGACCAGCAGGTCGAAGGAGGTGATCCTGCCCCTCTACTCTGCTCTCGTGAGACCTCCTTGGAGTATTGTGTGCAGTTCTGATGTCCTCAACATAAAAAGGACATGGATCTGTTGGAACAAGTCCAGAGGAGGGCCACGAGGACGGTCAGGGGACTGGAGCACCTCCCATATGAAGATAGGCTGAGAAAGTTGGGGCTGTTCAGCCTGGAGAAGTCTGTATGGAGATCTCATAGCAGCCTTCCAGTATCTGAAGAGGTGCTATAGGGATGCTGGGGATGAACTATTCATTAGGGACTGTAGCGATAGGACAAGGGGTAATGGGTTAAAACTTGAACAGGGGAAGTTTAGATTGGATATAAGGAAGAAATTATTTACTGTGAGGCTGATGAGGCACTAGAATTGGTTGCCCAGGGAAGTGGTGAATGCTCCATCCCTGGCAGTGTTCAAAGCCAGGTTGGACAGAGCCTTGTGTGACATGGTTTAGAGCGAGGTGTCCCTGCCTGTGGTAGGGGGGTTGGAACTAGATGATCTTAAGGTCCTTTCCAACACTAACTATTCTGTTATTTTCCTGTTTGTTTATGGTATCTTAGTTTACCATCTCAAGGTAACTAATGAAAGTATTTTTTAAAACCACATCTTCCTCAAACTGAAATGGCATCATTGAAATCAGTGAAAATAGCAATAGTGTTAAGACAGCTGAAGATGTAACTTTTGATTTATCACCTTGTTATAAGAACTGGTCTAATTATTAGGTGATTTTTAAAGCCTATAAAAATAGAGATATTCAGTACTGTATTTCCCCCCCCCCCCCAAATAAACATTACTGAGTAATTATTTATTTGACTTATTTGGATTTGGTTTTGCTTTTTGGAAAATTGGGAAAAAAAGAAAAGGGTTTTTTTTTCCTGACACTTTGGCTTGGTGAATGTACTTTCTTCTATTCTGGTAGCTAATGAAAAAATGTAGCTATTCCATGAAAGAAACCTAGTGAGAGCCTCTTGTGAAATTAATATTCCTTAGTACAAGTTTAGATGTTCTCAGAAGCCCAGCTTTGCTTGTTTACGAGAGCAATAAGCATTCCTGCTACAATAATTAATCAGATTGCCAAATCACAGCAAGTTTCTGAATTGCAGACTATAATAATTAGTTCTTTAAAGAATTTTATTCTCGAAACACATCAATTTTGATATTAATTGCTGATAAACTACCCTTTTTGTGGCTGTGGTTTCCTCATGCGTGTCATAGGTATGAAGGTTTAGATAAGAAGAAAGATAGTAACGGTTTCAGACAAGTTTGACTTCCATAGTATCACAGTATCACAGTATGTTAGAGATTGGAAGGGACCTCAAAAGATCATCTAGTCCAATCCCCCTGCCGGAGCAGGAACACCTAGATAAGGTTCATATTAATTTTTTCCTGTCAATCACAGAACTCTTTATCTTCTCTTTCCTGATTGAGTAATGAGAACAGAGAAAGTGAGTGATCAAAGTAAAATCTATCATTGTATTTTTAAAATTCTCTTTTTTTCAGTAGCCTATATACCAGCTGATTATAACTTGAAGTAGTAGTCAGCTGTGTATCTCAGTACTAGTTATCATATTGCTGAAATACAAAACTGTCAGGAGTTCCTCTGGGTCTGAAAACCATTTTTAATCAGATCTGCATTCTTATGGTGACTGCATTGCCAAATAATTTTGTTTTCAAAATATTTGCTGGTTTTGATTTTGAACTGCTGTCTGAGGTAGAAAAATGTTTTGCCATTTGGAGAAGAAGAGAGCGGAAGAGGGTAGACCAAATTACTTAAATACTAGTTCTGGCTTCTTTGGTTCCTTGTTTCTTTGGAAACTACACCTTGTTGCATCAAGGTCACGGAAATGCCATTGTGGTATCTCAAATCCAGAATGTGTTTGACCTTCTTGTATTAAAAAAAAAAAGAAAAGAAAAAAAAAAGGAAAAGAAAAGAAAAAGAAATTTTCAAATTAATTGCTGAAATTATATTATATACTTCTGAATTTTCTAGTATTTTAGAACAGGTGACTGTATTTGGTCAGTAGCTGTTCTCCTTCCCTGGTTTTAGCCAACTTCATGTGAAAGTGAAGATCACAGAATCATAGAATAGTTTGGGTTAGAAAGAATGTTCAAAGGTCATCTAGTTCCAATCTCCCTGCAATAAGCAGGGACATCTTTATCTAGATCAAGTTGAACCACATCCAGCCTGGCCTTGAATGTCTCCAGTGATGGGGCATCTACCATTTCTGTGGGCAACCTGTGCCAGTATTTTACCACCCTGATCTTCAGTTAATTTTATAATGGTCATAATTCTTAGCCTGTTTCTTGAAACAAAGTAAAAGCCAGAAACAGCTTCCTGGAAAGCTGTCCAAACCTAGTTTTTGTAACGACATCTTAACCACAGTTCTGTATTAGTCACAGCTATTCCAGTGAATGCTCCAGATCCTATAAGAAAAGCATACATTCAGTCATCATATCTGATAATTCACTCAGTTCTTGGTGGTTTATTGACATAAATATTTTTAAACTCCACTTCATTTATCAGTATTTTTGTCACATGCAGAAAGTCAAAATACTATACATTTACAGTGTTGGTCATGCTGATGCTTCTTTTCTAACTATTATACTTTTTCTTCTGTTAAAACAAAATTTTTAGGAACAGAGACTTTTAATTGCACTCAGTAACTGCCGTTATCTGGAACGTCATACCTTCCTAAATATAGCTGAACATTTTGAGAAACATGGCTTTCAAGGTGTTGAAAAAATAACTCAAGTAAGTGAGAACACTTGAATGAAATATCACTGCTTGAATGAAACAGTTTTTCTTTGTTTTGCTTTCTGTGGAAATAAAGTGCAAGTGTTCAGATGGCTAAAAGTATTCTTGGGTCTGCCCACTGCAAACTAGTGGGACTGCAAGCATCACTTGGATACAACGACAATACGGTTGTATGTGTTCCTGTAAGGCTTAAATAGCTTGTGTGGCAAATATGACCTCTTATTCAGGGCTTCAGAAAGCTTATCAGATTTCTTAGTAAAGCTGTTTAATGTCACTGGGTTCTCTTAATGCTGAGAATAAAAGATCATTATCTCAGAAATATACTTGATAAATTATTTCATTTGGTAATCTGTGTTACTGATAGCTGTTGTTCACAAACTAGTTCAAGTTTTTTGTTGTGTTTTGGTTTTTGTTGGTTTGGTTTTTGGGTGGTTTGTTGTTTTGTTTTGGGGTTTTTGTTTTTTTTTTTTTCAAAGAATGAAAATGTCAAAGTGGGTGGCAGGAGCTGTCTCATTTTCCTGCCTTTTTGTAAAGATTAATCATTTTTTATGAGAAATGTTATGACTTAATCCTTTAGGGCCATAAACCTAGTTTATTTCCAGAAACATTTGTTGATTTGAAGTAAAATGTTATCTTTTCCAATACAGAGTACAGTATTTCACTCAAACTGATGTTTCTACTGTGCAGTACATCCTTAATTCCATTCTGCCTGAATGTTGTTTGAATTTCTGTGGCTGAAGTAATTTTGAATAACATTTAAATGAGTTTGATATGATTTGTATATTTAGTACAGTATACAAAATTACTCTAGATATTGCGGTTATTTGCTGTTGAGACAGTTGAATTGAGCTAGGTACAGTTAGTGTTGTCTATATAAGCAAATAAGGCATCTGTTATGTATGCAACACTGTCTTGTACAGCCACATCAAAGTATTGGTACTAAAAGTCAGGTAATTTTATAAATGACAAAATTCAAATCTTGAAGTAGCCGATCAATTGCAAATCTGTGTTAACCCTTTGAAAGCACTGACTGGCCTAGATATGCATATATGGGACCCATCAATCAGTAACGCTCCCTGGGAGAATTTGGATAATTAGATTGTCAGAGAGCAGTTTTTGAACCCTTCACTGTTCACAGAGGTTTAGATGTGTTGGTTGATTTATTTCAGTTTTTTGTTCTGTCACCTGAACTTCTGTAATTTTTTTAATTGAATTTATTGTTAGATAAAAAATTGTAATAAAGATTTGACAGAATTTTAGAAAAACACAATTTGGTTTTAAGATGACTGAAACAAAACTGTACTTTTAAATTGTTAGCTTTATATATGAATTTTTAATGTGATTTTGTAGTGTATGTTGGTAAAAGCTGTCCGTTGTTGTGTTCTTACTAAAGTTGCCTGTTAGCAGGGAAAACATTATTATCTAATATGAAAATACAGCAATCATAAAATGGTAACCAAGAAATTTCCTTACGTTCTACATGGTTGCTGTTTCAATTTTTTTTTTTTTCTTACTGTGCCAAATACAAATTTATATAAAATGGCCCAACTTTAGGCTCTGCTTTACACACATGCCATCTTGGTACATACATATGATACTCACCTGTAGTTATATTTAATTCTTTAGTTCAACACTTTATCATCCATTTAGTTAATTAGCAAGTGGATGGGGAATTACTCCATAACATTCATCCTAACTTATTGTTTAAGCTTCTGGATATAATTGTTTCCAGAGTTCTGATACTTAAATAAGGCAGATGGGTTACTAGGGTAGAGGCTCAAATGGCTTTAATACAAATTTGAAAACTATAGTTATAGGGAAATTCTTAGAAGAGTAACAGTGAGTGAACGGTATGGTTTTGTGAGTATTTGCCCCTCGAGCATCAAGAAAATGGGTATACACAATGGACGTTGCTGAGGGCTTCTCTGCTTCATTCCCTCATCCTGGGCTCAAAATCAAATTCAGGTGGATTGCTCATTCTTTCTTGTAATCTTTCCACCAGCTGAAAAACAAGTTTACCCACCGTTATCTTAATTGTGAATTGAACTTGAAGCAGGTTGAAGGATGACAAATTAAAGGAGATTTATCAGATAGAAAAGCACGAAAGTGGTAGTGCCTCTTGTTTCAAAACACCATCTTCACCATCCCAACTTTCGTGAATCTGACAGGAACTTTCATCTCTTTTCACTTGCACTTACAATCTGATTCCTGAAGGCTTATCTGTCTGTCTATTCCTCACTCAAATACTCCAGTTCCCTTTCCTCTTCACTTAACAGTATAGGCATGCCAGTGAAGAACACAGTTCAGAGACGTCCCTGCAGTGAAAAATCTTCATTGCTTATTTTACAGCTTTCAGTATTAAATATTTAGAAAGGAACTATAAGGAGTTGGTATTCTTGTTTTCTTTCTTAATTTCTGGTTTGATCTAGACCTGCCTATTTCCTCACATTTAAACCCCTTTGCCTCTGAAAATTGTTTCATATATGCTTTTTTCCCTGATGATTGAGGAAGATGAGAAGTAGTTTAAAATCTTTACCGTTCTATCACTTAAGCTGTTCTAAATACTTTCAAGTAGAAGTCACATGATATTTTCCACATTTTGTTTGCATTTAGCATCCATTACCATCCTAGGATACTGAATTTCTACTTTAATATTGTATGATATGCTTTGCATTCCAGAATTGTTTTAGAAGCTGTAAGGTACCTATACCCCCTGTACCTATAAAGGGGGTATAAGAAAGTCTTGTATAAAATTTAAAGTTTCCGATACAATGACAAACTGTGCCTGTCTCTTTAGCTTTCAGTGTGGCTAAGTTGTGTGAGTTGCCAAAATGTGCATAGAGAGCTGTTAAAAGAGAAATCTTTGGCAGATGTTGGTAAGCTGTCCCTATGCATCTGCTGTGCCAAGGTGCTTTGAAATAAAGCAATAAGGTTCACATATACTGTTTCAGAAAGCAGAGACTGCTAAATAAATCTGTGTGCCTGTTAAATATAGAGCGGATAGATAGTTAGAAGTTGAAAAATTACAATTGGTGTATCAAGTATTATATGAAAATCTTCATGCGTCAGATTGGAAATTATTATGAGCACATTTTAAAGCATTGACAAAACTCATGCTTTACTTGGTGCAAGATCAAGACCTCCTGATATGCAGGGGGGGGGGTGAAAATACCATGCTATTAGACAATTAGAGTGATTTGCCTGCTTTGGCATTCCTTCAACTTTCCCAAAAACTGTCTACTGCTGAGCACAAGAAGGAAAAAAAAAGTATATTGGGTAGGATGGACAGATAATATGGAAGTTCCTAGGTTTCCCTATATGTAATTACGAAACAAAAAGTGTAAGTAATTGCTTCAATATATCGAAAACTAAAAATAACACGAGATAATTTTTTTGGGTATGTGACTTAATTCTTGTAGTTAATAAGCATTTATTATGTTTATCTCTTCTTTTTTTTTTTTTCCTATTTTTTTCCCTCCACTGTTTTCTAGGTTACTATGGAATCCTTGAAAGAGCTGGATCAAAGACTGTTCGAAATGTATATTGAATTCAAGGCAGATCCTATAGTTGGGTCATTAGAACCTGGCATTTATGCAGGATATTTTGATTGGAAAGATTGTCTTGTTCCAGCAGGTAAATATCTACTTACTAAATTCTGAAATTACTGTAACAGTGATTGATAGGAGCTAAAGTATACTTTACCATTAAAAACTTTTTTGTAGTCTGTGTTTTTAGCTTTTGACAAGTTCTCATTATAAGTTCTTTCTCACAGATTTTACTTAATTCCTAAATCATTTTTCAAAAACCCTCAAATGATTAAAGCAGCTTTCATCATTGATAATCTCTTTAATGCTTGTTTTTTGTGATTATTTTGCTTCATTGCTTGTATATAATAGAAAGAATTATAAAAGACATTTTTGCTATTTTCTTATGAAATTCATTGAGATTTGTTTGAGATTTTTTCCAGAGAATCTGGCTACTTTTGTAATAGATGTAATTACAGTTCTGAAAAGGTAAAATTATAAGAAAATTCATGCTATAACAGTAGTTCAGCAAAGAATGTTAAACGATCAAAGAAGGGCAGCTATAAAGCATTTAGAATTACTGAGATGTTAGTCACTAGGTGCTTTGAGAGCCTCTGTTTTGAAGAAGGATAATATAAATGAGCATTTCCTGTTTTTAAGTAGTGAATACTGTGCACACTTAACATTTAGGACCTTTAAACATCTAATTTGTTGTAGTCAAAATTTACAGATCTAAATCACTTCTCACATGAATGCCTGGTTAATATTGAATAGAAATTAGTTGCAGTAACGTAGTACACAGCATTTTGAAGATTATCTTATATTAATTTTTCATAAATGATTGACATGACAATTTGTACTTCCTTATTTTGATTGTTTCATGGAGTTGTATATGGTAAGCTTAGCAGAAATTTTGTGGTAGTTCAAAATTTGATCTAATTTGATCTAAAGGTTGTAAAACAAGAAGCACTTGTAATCTGTGTATCAAGAGCTGTGGTGATTGCTTGCTGGGCCTTAAAAACACCAGCAGGTTTATTACTTTAGAGGTGTATCTCTTGTTACTACTTTTGTGCTTAGAATATATATACAGTTTATAGCAGAAATAACGTTGATTTTAATCTTGCACGTTCAAATTTATATCTGGATAATATGTAACTTCTCATGTTTGGAGTATGTTTTGCTTGGCATGTCTGCATTCCTACCAGCTGACAGATTAGTTGTTGTGTCAGCTTCTTTATATGTTCATTTCTTGATCTACTGCTTTGAGATCTATTTACTAGACTTAAGTTACCTTTTGAGGTTATTCTGTAGTATTTTGTTTAAAGGGAATGTTGAATTTCTGTTAGAGGTATGCTTTAGTCTCCTGCTTGCCCAACTTATTGTTGGGTTTTCACACTTTCTCTGCAACTTTTTCACAAAAATCAAAGTGAAGATGGTGAGTACTAGAAACTCCTTCTGGGTTAACATATCATGGTGGTGGCCAAGAGGTGCCAATATGAAGCAGTAAAGAAGTTGTTTGTTTGTGGGGTTGGTTTTTTTTTGTTAATCTCCAAGCTAGACATGCTAAAAAGGAACATATAGTCCCTTCTTCCATGCTCCTGCACCTTGAGGAGCTCTCCTTCTGATGGATAAATTCTGCCAAATGTACCCTGTTGACTACTGGTATAAAAGAGTATTGTTTAACACCAGCCAGCAACTAAGCATCACACCATTTGCTCTCACCTGGTTCATCCCTGTAACATGGGGAGAGATGCGGGAGGGTAAATGTAAGAAAACCCATGACTTGAGATAAAAGCAGTTTAATAATTGAAATAATAATAATAATGAAAATTGTAGTAAACAGTAAAATTAAAAAAAAAAAGAGACATAACCCTCCCCCCCAAAAAACCCACAAAAAACCCAACAACAATAACAAAAAACCACCACCAACAACAAAAAAAAACACCAAAAAAAAACCCAACAACAAAGTGATGCAAATGAAAAATAATTGCTCACTACCATCCAACTGATGCCCAGCCTGTTTCTGAGCAGGGGTGCCCTGGCCACCTTTCCCCTAATTTATGAGTATGATTGTCATATGGTAAGGGTCATATAGTATGGAATATCCCTTTGTCCAGTTTGGGTCAACTGTGCTGGCTGTATCCTCTCCCCGCATCTTGTGCCCCCCAGCCTCCTTTCTGTCAGGGTTACTTAATTTATTGTAAGCACTACTCAGCATTAACTAAAATATCAATGTTTAATCAACGTTATTCTCATCCTAAATTCAAAACACAGCACTGCACCAACTACTAGGAAGAAAAATAACTCTATCCCAGCTGAAACCAGGACAGAGTATGACTTTGGGTACTTTCAGTTTGTCAACTTATAATGATGGTTACTTGATGCTGAAAATATTTGGTGCTCTAAAGATAAAATTAGTAAGTAACTGGGAAAACCTCTCTCTTGGAGGAGGTAGATAAGCTTTATTGTCAAAAAGAACTGGAAAAACAAACAAACCAAAAAAAAAAACACCAGCACCCAAACACCTTTTCGTGGGGCAATATTCAATCTAAAAAAAAAAACAAACAAACCAAAAAAAAACCACCAAACCCACACCATCCAGCAGGCATGTGGCATATGATTTATTTCTCTTATCCAATAAACTAGTATTCATAAACATCATTGAATTGTGCAGCAACATTATAGTTGAGAAAATAGACTTTTTTGTAATTTAAAAGATGCAGTTAGTACTGCAGTTTTCTGCAGCACTGCAGAAAAACCCGAAACAAGAGCTTTACTTTACAGCTCATATCCCAAGTACAGCATTTAAAGTGTCTACCTTATTAAGCAGATGACTGGGAGCGGGACACACTGAGTCAAAGACACAGTTAACTCAAAGATTTGTTAAAGAACGACACATTGATTTGTTGAGGGGGGAAAAATATCAGTTGTATAGTAGAATTTATAAAGATTACTGAAGAATAGATTTCTTTTTTGAGCAATTTGCCTGGTTTAGATCTTGACTTTTGTAGCCTTAATTTTTAAAAAGTAAAAACGTTGGTGATATTGGCAAGGCAAAACATTTAGGCATCAGCTGGGTTCTTGACTGTTACTATCAGTGATGTGTAGTAGGTAATTAAAGTTACTCTGTGTTCCATAGTAGGTACAACTACGCCTAATTGTTAAGGTGTAAAAGTCTGGCCTGCAGGTTTTTTTTGTATGGTGCTTCTGCATTAACTTTCAATAGTACTAGCAATAGTAAAAAGCCAAATTTTGACAAGAAGAGGGGGTGCTCTGAAAGAAGAGGACAAAGGCATCAATTTGCTAATATTTCAAAGATAAGGTAAAAGGCAGATAATTTCTCTGATGCAGTCTGAGACTTTGAAACGTTTTATCTGGCAATTTAAAATTTATCCATAGTTGGGCATGTTGATGGCATGGATATATCTTTCACAAACAACATTTTTGATAAATGTGGGTGTGAAAATATTGGGAAATTGGCCAGAAATAACATTAAGAATTTTATGATCATGAATTTCCCATGTTGCTAGTCCAGCACAGAGCTTCAAGAATGCAACTGTTTCTGAGCAAATGTACCAGTAAAGCACTAGTAAGTATTCCTTTCTAGAGAAAGAAAGGAATGTTACCAATCAGAACAAAGAAGCCGGAAGCCTGAATAAAATGCAGAGAACACCTTATCTGGACTATCAGGAAGATAATGCTTTTAGATAGATGGAATTGTTCATGGAGAGCATATCAGTGCTGGTAGAAATTAAGGTAACTGCAAGGGAGAGACCAGACTGGAATGAAAAGCTTGTGATGAAGACTGGTATCAAGCAAGGAACAAAGGTAGCCAAAGAGGGGAAACCAGGGCTGGATGAGCAAGGTAGATACATACATTAGGGTAGCATTTAGGAATAGAGTTAACACAGAAATGGATTGCAAGGGATTTATACAAACGAGACAGACTTGAAGTGGAAATTAAAGGACAGAGAGGTCTGGTACTCAGTAGATCAGTGAGCTTACCAGAAGCTGCAGTGTAATCAAAGAAATACCTTCAGTCTTGCACTTTCATCCTCTAGCGATGACATCCTGTTAATGTTACTGATTACTTTTTTTTTTTTCCACAGCTTGCAAAAGTCATGAATGTATTACTATAAACTTACCATAACACTACAGGCAGTGCTGCATGCTATATATGTCGTGTGTGTGTGTGTCTATATATTTAATTTTTTCTCAGTACCACTGAGGAGCACAATGGCCTGAGTGTTTTACCCTGCCAGTGCTATCAGTGTTGTTTCATTTTTAGAACTGAGGCTACAAAAGCCAGGGTCTACAACATCTGCCACATGACTCACTTACAAATCCACTGTACCAAATTTATATGTAGGTATTGCTAATTCTGTTAAGCCATATAGACCAGTGCAGTAGGAGAATTTTCTGCTTTTTTGTTTGCTTTCTTTTCTATGTCAGTAACAGTTACGGACAGAAAAACCACACAAAGGCAATCAAGTATAATCCAGGCTTTGAATAATATTTTCTTTTCCCACATGGGTACACTTGACTTGCTTCATGAAATATAGGCTGTTCGGGAGATAAAACTGGGGTTTGTATTACGTGGAGCTCTTACAGGCAAAAATCTGTACTCAGCTGTTACAGGTTTTGAGAATTGAGTGAAGCATAATCTGGGTGGGGAGAAAAGTGGAGGCAGGATTCTGTGCAGTCTTTTCTATGTCATGTTAATAACTCGAGCATTTTTGGTTTTATCTTTAAAACGCATTCTTTGACTCCTGTCAGTTTGAACATTCATGTTTAATTTGACTACCTAAAGTCTTGTAATGTATAGAATATTCAGACAAATATTATCCAAAACCTTGACAAAGTCAAAGATGACTTTACAGTCATCTGCCTGTAAGTACCAAGGACAATATTTCCTTGCATCATATAATTCATGAGGAAATAGAAGGGAAAACAAAAGAATAAGAACTGTAATAAATGAACATTTCTGAAGGAATTAGAATGAAATTAAGAAGCCTGCTTTTTGAGCAAGCTGTTGAAAATAAGTAATACTAAAGTTTTGTATCGTGATTCTGTCAGTGTGGAAAAAGCATATGTCATGCTCTCTTAAGA